TTCTCTCTCTTCCTGTATCTCTGCCCCTCCCGCATGTACACACATACTCCTTTTCTCTCTCAAAAATAAATAAAATAAAACTTAAAAGGAGCATCTAAAAATTTTTAAAGGTAACATGATATATAATAGTGAAATGGAATCATTTTCTCTGAAGATTGGGAATGAGGCAAGGATGTCTGTTCTCACTCTCTTATTCAGTCACATGTGATATACTACTGGAAAATAAGTGGAAATTGGTGGAAATCACAACTAAAACATAATGGCATTTACAGTCTCTCCAAAGGAAATGAAATCTTTAGATATAAAGGCAACAAAATGTATACAGGACCTGTAGGCTGAAATTTTGAATACCCTGATTCAAAACCAAAACCAAAAATCAAATATAGAGATCTAAATAAATGTGGAGGTACACTGTCTTGAATTGGAAGGTTAAACATAGTAAGATGTCAGTTCTCCAAAACTGATCTGGAAGTGTCACATAATTCCGATAAAATCCCAGCAAGATTTTTGGTAGGTATCAATAAGCTTATGCTAACATTCGTATGGAAAGGTGCAAGACGTAGAATAGCTAGACTCATCTTGAAAAAGAACAAAATGTGAGGAATAACTATTTGATGTTTAGACTTGCAACAACCTGTAGTAATCAAGATGGTGCGGTATCGGTGGAGAGCTGGGTATATGGATTTAAAGAACACAGAAGGCATAAAGAACACAGAAATCATCCTTACACGAAGATAACCAACTGATTTTTTTTTCCACAATGGCACAGAAGTAATTTAATGGAGGAAGCATAGCCTTGTCAGCAAATGGTGTTGGAGCAATTGGACACCCATAGGCAAAACAAATAAACAAAGAAAACTTGACCTAAACTTCACTTCACATCATATATTCATATATATACATATATACATGTATGATAAAATAAAAGTTTTATAGTTTCACATTTTACAGTTAAGTCCATGGTTCATTTTGAGTTTATTATATATATATTATATATGTATTATATATAATTTGGTTTTTTTAAATTTAAATTCAAGTTTGTTAACATATAATATAGTATTGGTTACAGGAGTAGAATTTAGTGATTCATCCCTTACATATAATACCCAGTGCTCATCCCCAAAAGTGCTCTCCTTAATATCCATCACCAATGTAGCCCATTCCCCCACCCACCTCCCCTATAAAACTTTTAGAATTAAACAAAAGAGAAAAATTGTGGGTCCTCAGGCTGGGTGAAGAAGTCTTGACACCAAACACAATCTGTAAAAGGGAAAATTGCTAGGTAGGGCCTCTCCCATAGAATTAAATACTTTTGCTTCATAAAAGACTGTTAAGAGGATGAAAACACATGTTACAGACTGGGAGAGAATATTTGCAAACATTAGTAGCCATTAGGAAAATGCAAATCAAAGCTATAATAGGCTATCACAATCAGACACCCATCAGAACTGCTAGAAGAAAAATAGTAATGACACCAATTGCCGGCAAGGACCCAGAGAAACTCAATCCGTTGTACATCACTGGTGGGAATGTAAAATGACACAATCACACAGGAAAAATAGATCCACGGCTCCTTATAAAACAAAACGTACACTTAGAATCCAGCAATTGCACTTTGAGGCATTTATCCCAGAGAAATGAAAACGTAGGCTGAAACAAAAACTTTTCCATAAATGATCATAGCAGCTTTATTCATAGTAGCCCCAAACTGGCAACAATGCATTCATCTTTCAAGGGGTGCGTGGTTAAACACATACATTCATGTCTGGAGTAATTCTCATGAAAAATACCCATTAATAAAAAGAGCTATGATTCATAGACCACCTTGGATGAGTCTCAAGGGAATTGTGCTCTATGGGAAAAAAGTCAGAATTAACAAAGTTACGTATTGTGTGATTTCGTTTATATAACGTTCTTTAAACGGCAAAATTATAGACTTGGTGATTGTCAGGGGGCACTGGTTGCCAGTGGGGGGGTTGAGGGGTGTGTATGTGTGGCTGTGAAGATAGCCTGACACAGAGTCTGGTTGTGAAGGAACAGTTTGGGATTCAGATACTGGTGCTGGTTACACAAATATGCACACCGGATAAACTTGTAGAGAACTGTATTCACACACACTAACGAATGCATGCGATGAAATCTAAATTAACTGTAAGTTGTACCAACATCAATTTCCCGGCTGTCATATTGTAGCTATGCAAGATGTCCTCACTGCGAGAAACTGGGTGGGGGTCACACACACCTCTCTATACATGTTTTTGCAACTTTCTGTGAGTCTATAATTATTTCATAAGAAAAAGTTAGGGGAAAAAGAACCCTAGGGTGGCGCTGGATGTCTAAAAGATGCTGAGAAATAGTGACGTGACAAAAACAAGGTCGGAACAAGGACCTGACGTGACAGTAATCACATCAGCAGGGCTGACCCTGAATAGATTCCAGGGTTGAGGTCCATTGGGAGAATGTTTAAAATTATCTTTAAAGCAGGAAGAATAGACAGCTAGACCCACAGCTGGGAGCCAGTGCTGACTGTTAATTAAAACAAACAATAGCTTTGCAACCTGTACTTTTGGGGAGTTTTCTCTGTCAAGAAGAATGCTCTTCAGACTGAAAATGGTGGGAAGGCGTATCAAGAAGCAAGATGTGAAGGCTGAAATGGTTGAGGGCTCAGGGTGAGAGGTTCAGACAGATTACATCCCACAGGCCTGCAAGAGCTTCCTGATGTGCTAACGGAACTCCTTCTTGAGAAACCAGACACGCTGGGGGAAAGACAGGAAGCTCAATAAAGAAAAATGCCCATAGTTTTCCAAAAGGTGGACAGGAGTGCATCCCAGAAGGATACTGACATAGGGGGCAAATGGAGAGCCTCTTGTTCTAGCCCAGATGCTCTGCCGTTGAGGTGGAGGATGAAGCCGATACTGGTCCATGAGGAAAGACCTGGGGTTTGGGTGGACCTTCAGGGCAGCAAGGGCAGTGGTATGTTGAGTCTCTTCAGAAAACGAAAGCACTCTTCAGCAGACAATAAGGAAAGGGAGGGAGTGAGGAAGGAAGGAAGGAAGGAAGATGCTTGGAGCCATTTAGTGCTGAAGCAAGGAGTTTTCTTCATTTCAGTAAGCCCTGAGGGGGTTCCTATGTTACAGAGCCTCATAGGATTACTGTCCATAATGGCATTCATCTAGAAAGTTCCATATATTCCACGATCTGTGTATCAGAAGACAGAAAGTTGCGGATGTATTTATAAAATTGTTCCTTCCAACGAAGCTGGAGTGTTTTGTTGGTTGGTTGATTGGTTAGATTTTTAGTTAGTGGCATCTGTGAGCCAAATCAGAAATCTGGAATTCCCCCCTTGAAGCTGGTCTCCCCCCTCACTTGCCTTGCCCCACCATTATAGTTCTACTGACTTGACTTCTAATATCTTTCCAGAACATTCTCTCTTTTCCTTCCTCATAACCACTGCCTCTTATTGTCTGTTGCTGCCATGCTTCTCTCTGTCCTCAGAGTTACTCTTTTTAGCTCATCCTGGGTTTATGATATCAAGTAATCTCAAATGCAAACCAGGGCCTCTTTGCCCAACGTCAAACTTTCAACACTCCCCATTGCCTTCAGGACAAAGTCTAAATTAACTGGTCCTAGGCTCAATCTCCACTGAACTTCCCCACTCAGTGTTGGGGAACCATTCCACCTCATGGAACCATTTGTAATTCTCTAAATAGTCCCTATTGAGAGATCATAAACGTGTGGTCCTCTATTCCTGCCCCAGTCAGCATCTTCTTTCGCTAATTCCCTTTATCCTTCAAACTTTAGAAGAGCTCTCACCTCTGACCTCCACATCAGACCACGTTAGATCTGACCAGAGATCTGTCCTATGCTGGTGACAAATTGTATAGAAATAGTTCACGGGTGACCTCACCCCACCACCCTCCTGCCACTACCAACATGACTGAGGGTTGACTCCCCGTTAGCTTTTGCCTGTTTCCTCGGTGCTGAGAGCAGTGCCTGCCAGGTGCTCAGTATGTTTGATCAGCTGACATTGCGTGCACATTTTCAGTATCTTAAAAAGGCATATATGTAGAATGCTGCATTCCCCCAAAGTTCTGAATAGCCAACAATTATTAAAGTCATTTGCATACATGCCTTCTCTGTTACCACTTTGTAAATTCCTAACGGCAGAACATCCAACTCCCTACCATTGTACCCCTTTAATTTCCAGCCGGTGACCACACGCATAAATGCTGTGAGAGACAGATCAGATCAGGGGACAGAACTTCGCTTGTTCTGAACATACAACCTCGAGAAAAGACTGGGAGTAGGGATGACTCATTAGTTCAGAAGGTAAATCCAAGAGAATATTCTAGAATGGGAAACCAGAGAGCCCCTGAGTATGAAGCACTCACTGGTGACTTTAAATTCTAGAAGATTTTAAAAAATCCATCACCTGTATAACAAGGACGGAGGAAAGAAAGACGGCAGAGTTGTCTGGATTTTTAAAACCTGAACTGAATCTAAGACAAACTAATTATGAAGCGACAAATATAGCCTAGCCCACACGAAATGGAGAAAGCACTCCCTGATCAACACATCAGTTATAATGGAAGTCACCTTAAAGAATTTTAAAGGAGTCACATTAAATAGCTATGTGGCACTGGCTTTAGTTCTGTGGAACTTTCTCATCTCTCGTGTTGCTTTGCCATTTCGTCACACAACCTGTGTGTCCAAATAAGACGCTAATAAAAAGGAGGAGCATATGGTAAGCATTAGCATTAATCTAGGGGAAATTATTCGAATACAATTTATTGCAAAGCTAGAAAGACAACCCCAACTACAGGCTAATGATACAGCATCTATTACCAGCATTATACGAATTCCAGACTGAAGCATTCCAGAAATGGGTTAGTAAGAGTCTATGGTACAAACCAAGGCTTCCTATCACCTTGTCCATCCTTACGTTGCCAGCAGAAAAAGTCTATCACAGGCAATGTCATGACTGGGAAGGAGTACTTTACCATTGATTTCAAAGGTCTCCATTGCAGGGAACATGGCGTGGTCGATGGCTTCTCTTTCTCCGGTATTAGCCAAGAACTCGTCTTCCTTGAGAATTTCTTTATTTTCCATTGTGAAGCTTTATAGATGGCCCAAAAGTCCTAGAGCCAGCAGAAATGTTCCCCTCAAGAGGAACCACTTGGGGAAAGATTGTTCCCATTTAACTACTGCTGCTAACTGTAGGACACAAGCACTTCCCTTTGGCTCTGATTTCTGAATCTGCAAAATGTTTCCTGACATGATCAGAATTGGACGTTTCTCAAAAACAAGGTATTCACATGTGGGGCTCCTGCTCGGTGCAGCTGCTTGTTAAGGCGGGGGGGGGTGGGTGGGAGGGGAAGGGGAGCGTCGAGGTGGCTTTAGAGCTTAAGTCACAGGTCCTTGGAACCACCCAGGCCCCTGAGAGCAGGGTGTTGGACGGGCCAGGGAGGATGTTTCCCTCCCTGCCTTCTGTGCATCCGAGCCTTGCCATCATTACAGACCCAGGACACTGTCCCAAGCCTTCTATGCCTCACACGGAAATCTCCCTCCCTTGGCCTACTTTGGCCTTAGGGTTCATCTTTGATCCTCAAAGTATGGATCCTGGAGCAGCAGCATCAGGATCGCCTGGAAACTTGTTAGAAATGCAGAGTCTTAGGTCTCATCCCCCGTGAGTCCAGATCTATAGTTGAACTAGATTTGCGGGTGACATACCTACACCCTGGACGAGCACTGCTCTGTGCCACAACTCGTAGCATGTAATTCTGTTTCCGCTTGCGTTTTTCCATACTCTCTCTGGGTGGGTGCACATGCATGCTTGCTCTGGCCCCAGTAAGAGCGGAACTCCTTGAGGGGAGAACCCCCTTCCCCAGCTCCCTCTTGTCAGGCATTCCCCACCCCTTCTGATGAATAGCTGGGTGGTGAAGTTACAGACCCCATGAGTTCAAACGTTCAGGTTCAAATTCTGCCTGTCCCACGTAGCAGCTGTATGCCCACGGGAACATGGCATAAGGTCCGAGCGTCTCACTTTCCTCCTTCATAGTCTAAGGAAGACGGTGATATTTGTTGTGTTGGCGAAATGGACTAGACCACGTACAGTGGACAGGAGGACACCTGGCTATGATCACTAGAGACATGAGCTTCCTGGTTTCCGGGGAGAAAAGGGAAAGAGTGCTATTAAGTGAGGCAGTGACTGAAGCCCCTGACAGAATGGAGCAGGGCCAGGGGCGGGAACATCCCAGAGAGCTTACTGATCGGCCCCGGGTGCGGGGGCTGTCCGGGGCTTTGCCTGGAGAAAGAGATGGGTGGTGGCCTCCCAGGTCAGAATGACGGCAAGTTCAGCCACACAGGCAGGGCGGCTTGAGGGCGGAGGAGGCCTGAGACTTTGGGGCTGCTTGGAACCTGAGAGGTGAAGAGGAAAGGTGGCCCGAGATGAGGATGGGCCCCGCTAAGCCACTTTCTTCAGCCTGTGGGCATGGCAGAAAGCAAAAAAGGGAAGGAACTGGAAAGTGAGTTACTGGCAGTGCCCGCAAAGCAGAGGTCCCAGTGGCACCCGCAATTTCAGCATTCAGGAAGTCCCTGGCTGGGGCTGAGGTGCTGGCAGCCACAGCTGGCACCGGGAGGGTTAAAGATGGGATATGAAAGGAGCTAGCAGCTCTAGTCAGAAGTTTGGGCCACGCAAGATAGTAGGGGCTGCAGGAGGGTTCCCCACCCCCCGAGGGAGGGAAATCCTCCAGGGACAGGAACCTGCTCATTTAGGCTGCGGGGCCTCCTCCCCCTGCCTGGTCAGCTCTGCTCTGGCCAAGAGTAATCCTCATTTGCGGTGGGCTAGTAACCGGGCGCGGCCAGCCTTGGGGGGAGTGTTTAGTGGATATCAGATGTGGTTCCTTTGGCTCTAGATATGGGGCCAGAAAGACCCAGGCCACAAACCCAACTCTTTCATGAACTTGCTGGGTGACATTGGGTAACTTTTCACTTCTCTGGGCCTCAGCACAAAGGAATAGAGCATCGAACTATTAACGGATATCCAGGATTTATCAGGCGTCAAGCATTGCACTACACACACACATATAGTACTCAAAACTCTCAACAGCATGCAGCTAGTCTCAGCTCTTGTGGTTAGAAAGTGAGGCGGCCAGAATTTGAATCCAGGATACTCTCTTTCTTCAGCCTGGTTTAAACCTAGTTTGATCCAGAAGCTGTAATCCAGTAGTTCACACTGGAGGAATTTTTTGAAAATGCACATCCCATTTCTCCACCTCCAGCCTGAGAGTCTGGTTTTAATAAAAGCCCCACGGCTGGCTCTAATGTGCAGCCAGACTGAGGACCTTTGCGCGCGCGCGCACGCGCACGCACGCACACACACACACACACACACACACACACTAAGATAAAACAGTCACAAGTAGCACAGAGATGCTAAGGGACTCCTTCCTGGAAGGATCCATCAGGTTGAACCATACAAAATTACTGATACTCATCCCTTTTTGACATACAGTAAATGGCCACTTCCTAGGATTCGAGCTAATCCATTCAGCCTGCAAGGATGGGCCTTGAATAAGGCAATTGAGGCACCAGCTTTGGGTGCAAAAGATTCAGTACTCAGGGTCATTAACAGTGTAACACAACATTCTAAAAATCAAAGTTAATGCAAAAAGCTCGTGATGAACAAAATGCCAGTATCTTAAAAGAAAAGCAGGATCCCATGCTGCACTTGCAATGACCCATCACTTTCTCTCCCTGCTCCCAGCAGGGCTCTTTACCCTGTTTCAGTGATCTCATTTGCAAAATGGGATTCCAGTGGGTGCCCTGTTTGCCCAAAGGGTGGGTGTGAGGGTCAAACAAAAGAATAAGCGTGTGTCCATGTTTGTCAGTGAAAGGGCTCTCAGTAGAGTGACATCTCCTGTCAAGCTGGCACGTAATGTTTTGTTACCCTTAAAAATCCCTTAAATCTCCCATAAAGCACAAAACACACAGTTTGGGAAATATTGTACAGTCTCTTCTTAAGTGTCTTCCACTCAGACACTTTTATCTTTGGGAATAAGGATTGGGCTGTGTTTTCTCTCGAGCACCAGATGAAATAGTTAACTTGCACTTGGGACCATGTTGCTCAAGAAATGCAGGCTTCGGCTTTATTTTTCTAGTGCAGGTAATTGGGTTGGAGAATTTAAAGGCGTGTGCAGAGTGGCTCTGATGTAGTTACATCGAGTTCTGTTGTTCTCCGAAGTGACAGCCGAGTGGCTCACGGTGCTCTGTCAGACAGGGGTCATGGGTCTGGAGTCCCAGGCAAGTGTGTTCCCGTGCCTGGTGAGCTCTGTAAAGCTGAACTTTCTGTGAACCAGTGGGTCCCAAGCGAGTGTGGCTGACAGACCACCCAGCAGATCAAAAACTCCCAAGCAGCCCTGTTCCAGCTAAACACTGGGCAACCATGTGAACGCATGATGTAAAAACCACCGGCACAAACCCAAGTGTTCAAAACAGACAAATGAAACTCTACAGCCAGCAGGTGAGCCAAGTCACCAAGGGTGGCCCCACGGTCTCCGCTGTACCTCACTGGCTGTTTGGCCATTTGTTCTGTCGTCTGCCTGAGCTCGTCAGCAGAGACCATGGAAAGGAGGACCCAGGCAATATATAAAGTATATAAAGGAAAAATGTTAAACGTTCTATTGACTTTATTTTTTTTTCTAGTTGTGCGTGATGAGGTGGTGGTCAGTGTCCCCAGGCCGAGCTCATCACCATCGCCTGGTGCTTAATGAGGCTTAATAACTGCTGATTGAGCTTGGGGCTCCTGGGTGGCTCAAATGGTTGAGCGTCTGACTCTTGATCTCGGCTCAGGTCATGATCTCACAGCTCATGAGTTTGAGCTCCGTGTCGGGCGGGCTCTGTGCTGATGGTGTGCAGGCTGCTTGGGATTCTCTGTCTCTCTCTCCTCCCCTGTGTGCACAGCCTCTTTCTCTCTCACACAAAAGAAATAAACATTAAAAAACACTTTACAATAACTGCTGATTAATAAAAACAAACAGCAACAGAAAGGACCATTGATGGGTGAATAGGTAAATAAATGTGGTATGTCCATCCAATGGGAGGGGTAAATAAATTGTGGTATGTCCATTCAATGGGATATTAATCAACAGTAGAAAATAATAAGCAAAAGCATGAGCAAAAGAAGCCAGACCTCAAAGAGGACATCTTGTATGACTGCATTTATATTAGGCTCCATAAAAAGCAACATTCATCTATGGTGTCAGAAAACAGAACTGTGGTTCCCTGGGTGGGGGGTAGGGGGCAACTGATTGCACAAGATCACAAAGGAATTTCTGGGGTGACAGCAATATTCTGTATCTTGATTGGCACGTTACTTCCAAAACATACAGAACTTTATGCTTGAAATGGGTATACAGTTCGTAAAATATACCTCAGTAAAGCCGATTGGACATAGTATATAAATTATACCTCCCTAAAGTTAATTAAAACAGCAATTAAAGGGAAAAGATGTCAGAATCCTTCTTGTTGGACCTTGGCCCAATTCGCAGAAGTTCATCTTTTGAGAGCCATCAAGGGTGAACGTGCCAGCCAACCAGCGACATGTGTAGGTGGAGATGTTTCTCCAGGTGCGGTGGGTGTGAGGCCTCACTGAGCCACCCACACCCCTCTCTTCCCTGAGTGGGGAACCTTACCCACACTTTGGGACTGTCATGTCAGGACAACGGCCTGTGCTTTCAGAACAAAGAAAAAGAAAGTGAAGCAAACAGGTCTATGGTGAGATTTTCCCACTGACCCTGTACTACTCGTACCCACAGCGCACCCTGGGCAAAGGCCAGCAACTCAGCTCTGCCTCCCTGGTCTGATTTCAGGAACACAAGTTCTCCTGACCCCGGACTCCATGGTTTGCTTTCCTGACACCTGTAGTGTTTCCACAGAGGCCAAAATTTGTGTTCCTGTGCCCCATTAAAATGGGTCCTTCCAGGGGTGCCTGGGTGGCTCAGCTGGTTAAGCGTCTCACTCTTGATTTCAGCTCAGGTCATGATCTCACAGTTCATGACATCGAGACCTGCGTTGGGCTCTGGGCTGACAGCACAAAGCCCGTTGGGATT